AATTATCTCCTGTGTCTTACATACAACATTGCTGTTAGTACACCACAGAATACTATTAGCCTTTTTCACCACTGCATCACATTGTTGACTCATATTCAATTTGTGATCCACTATAACCCCCGGATCCTTTCCAGCAGTACTGCTGCCTAGTCAGTTATTTCTCATTTTATGGTTGTGCATTTGATTTTTCTTTCCTATGTATAGTACTCTACACTTGTCTTTATTGAATTTCATCTTGTTGATTTCAGACCAATCCTCCAATTTATCAAGGTCATTTTGAATTCTAATCCTGCTCACCAAAGTGCTTGCAACCCCTCCCAGCTTGGTGTCATCTGCAAGTTTTATAAGCATACTCCCCACTCTATTAGCCAAGTAATTAATGAAAATATTGACTAGTACAGACCTGATACACCCCCCAAGTTTGACAGTGAACCATTGATAACCAGTCGTTGAATAAGGTCTTTCAACCAGTTCTGAACCCACCTGACAGTAACTTCACCTAGACCACTTTTCCCTAATTTGTTTATGAGAATGTCATGTATCAAAAATCTTGCTAAAATCAAGATATATTGCATCTACTGCTTCCCCCACCCACTAGACCAGTAACCCTGTTAAAGAAGGAAATTAGGTTGTTTTGGCATAATTTATTCTTGACAAATCCATGCTGGCTATTCTTTATAACTCTATTATGCTCTAGGCACAGAGCAACAGGTGCTATGGGTCAAGTGCAACAAGGACTCACCTGACATACAGCCACAGGTGGGCTCTAATCCTATGGGACTTTCATCATGGCCAGCCTAGAGCCCCCTGCTCCAAACACACAGGCACCTAAGCCCAGATCCTCAAAGGTATTTAGGCTCCTACCTTCTGTTGATTTCAAAGCCCAGTGCCAGAGCTAGAGGAGAATCTTCCTTTGCTATTAGCAGAGTGGGGCTTATGACACATTTGAGCCCTTTACCCTAGTCTGTAGAGATCAGTAAGGCACTCAGATAATTCAGCACAGGAGCCATACCAGGGAAATAGCAGCAAGTTGTCTCCCCCACCCCGCTACCCACTTGTCAGAAATAAACACCAGGCTGGTGTTGTAAGTGTGATTAAATTAGGCAAATAAAGCATTGCACAAACTCCCAGGGATGTCTGAGCAACTTATTCCTGCATGGACCATGTTTGCTTGGTTTTACAGCGTCTCTGCACAGCCATTCCCTGGGTCTCGATTTGATTGTCATCCCTTGTCCCCCAGGAACTTCGCTCGGGGGTCCAGTTTTGAACCCCGAAGTTCAGCACTGAACTCAGGGCCCAAGTGCCAAGTCTCACATGGGAATCAATGAGGTGGCTGAATTTCAGTGCCCCCCACCTCCTCAGCTCCCAGAGAGTTGGGCCCAGGCCAGGGGAGCGGGCTGGCCAGGAGCCAACCCCACAGGGAGAGGAATGGGGGGAGTGGGAAGCCAGCCCCACAGCTCTGTTAATGAATTCAGTCTGCAATGAAACCGGAGACCCCAGGAAACCAGAGAGGCTCCTGGTTGTAACCTCTGGCTCTGCACAGGGCCCAGCTGTGGTGGGGGAGGGGAGGCGAGGCCTTGGTTGATCATTTGGTTGTGGGGGGCAGGGGGATGCACAGGGCACTTACTGGAGCTCAGCAGTGTCTTGCTGCTCATGGTGAGGTGCCTGTTCCCCACCTGGGTGTGCTAAGGCAGGGGGGGAGGGGCACTGTCCAAGGCTACACGGTGAATAGCCGTCGGGGGGCAGAAATGGGTCAGAACTGCCCAGGCCTGTGCCAAGCACAAGGCCAGCCCCCCTCCCCAAACCTGTCCCTTCTCCCTGAACTCCAGTAGCCAGGGGCTCCCAGTCCCACTTCCCCTCAGCCCCGGCTCTGAATCCGACAGTGGGGCAGACCTCCCACACCCTGCCCCCACCATCACGCTGCAGAACCTGGCACAGCTGGGCAGGGGGCAGCTTAGCATGAGCCACAGGGGCTGAGGGGCCCAGGAAGAGGTGGGCAGGTAGATCTAGCCCCCTTGCAGACTCTGCCCACAGGAGCAGGGCCCAGGAGGCTGCAGAGCTGCCCGCCTCGGCCAGGGAACCTAACCTGCAGCCACCTGTGAAATATTCATCCCCTGTCAGGAATGCACTGACAGCACCATGGCAACCTCAATGCTAGGCTTCTCTTATGCCTATTCCATTCACAGGCCCTGGGCAGCTGGGGTTACACATGGGGGGGGGGAAGGAAGAGGGGGGTGGCAAGGTGCCTTCCTCCCAGCAGCCTCTGGGCCCAGGAGGAAAGTGAGTCCCTTATGGGCTGAGTTTGCTGGACCTCAGCTGGGCCCCAGCATCTGCAACATGAAATCTCTTCTGAACATCCCCCTACTGCCCCCAGCTGGATGCCCCCGGGCCTGTCGCCCCCGCACCTGGATATTGGGGGTCTGAGCACAGTGGGCAGGAGCTCTCCGTAATGGACACTAAGGCCTCTGTTGCCAATTAGAGACAGAGCCTCCCCATCCCCAGCTGGGCAGGGACACATCAGCATGGGTTAGCATACGGGCTGCCCACCCTGCAGCTCCCTGGGCTGTCCCTGGCCTGGCGATCAGTAGGAACTGACCCAGCACCTGTGTCTCTTTTTCAATTCCACCTGGAGCAAAACTCCCAGTCACAATGTGACCCCGAGGGCAGGAACTCCCAAATGCGTGGCAGGGGGGACTCCGGGGTCTGAGCTCATCACGCAGGGAGCTCCCTGTGAGTCACTGGAAGCTCCATGCGCACATCCCCAATCAGGGATTTAATAGGGACAAAAACCAGCCAGCGCCTCAGCTGGAGTAAATCAGTGGAGCTCCACTGGATCCAATAATTACCACCAGCTGAGAATCTGGTCACAGCGTTTGATAGTGTCCTTTCCATAGACTTCTGTAGCAGGGATAGAATTATATATTCCATTCTATAGGGTGCTTTCAAACAAAACCCTATAGATAGTGTATAACCCTCGATTCAATTCTCTGGGGCTTTCCTATAAGGGATCAGCCCCTTTGTAAGCACACCTGAGGCTCCCTAAATGCATAGAAGTGACATGGGGACAAAACAGTCCAAGCCATTTCCAAAAGCAGTCCCAGAGTTTCCAGGGAATAGTACATCTCCAATTCAAGAGCAGATGCCGCCGAGCCGGAGCGAACTCCGCCAGTGTGTTCTGAGGTTCGAGCTTCAAGACTTGCAGAGCAGGACCGGGCTGAGTCAGAGCTAAGCGTGAGGAGGGTGGGCTGGGGCTGGAAGGGGGGGGGGGGGGAAAAAAAGTCACCCCTTCTAGCTGGGCTGCCCCCCCCCCCAAATTGGGGGGGGGGCATTAACCATAAACACACCACAGATACTAGCTTGTCCAAAATGCAGCACCGCAGCATGGACAGGGAAGGCCCATGAAGCAACACAGGAGCCCTTGCCATGGCGCTCAGTAGAGGAGGAGCACCCAGCTCCCAGAGGGGCAGGAACAGAGGTATTAAGGATGGGAATGGAACAATTAGATCTGCAGGTGGGGCTGAGACAAGCCCCCAGAGCACAGGGAGACTTGTCCAGATCCAAGTGCCTCTACAGCAGGCTGAACCGGAATCCTCCATCCAAACCTCCCGTGCTGTGGGGTCATCTGATGGGACCCCAAACTTTGATTGAAGCTGGGACCAAGCCACAGAGTGCGAGGCTGTCCCTAGGCAACCCCCATGCTCAGGCACCAGGTGAGGCTGAGTTGGGTGCTTTCCTTTCTAATACCCTATTCCCAGTCACCTGTTCTGTGCTCCCAGACTTGGAGGGACCTGTCCTGTTTCTAAGGGAGCAGATTTGGGGAAAGCCGGAGCTAAATCCCTCCCAACGAACAGCAAAACCGCCATTTTGTGCTGCCAAAAGCCCTTACGTGGCTCCTCTGGGGCAGGGAGCTCAGTGGGCACGGAGCCCCCAGTGCGGGGGATTCACAACTCCAGCATGGAGCAAGGCACTATGTATCGAGGTGCTGCTATAGTATCCTCAGCGTCCTCTCCTTCCCCTGCCCCCAGGGCCGGGCCCAGGTGAGCGAAGGACTCACAGGGTGAGGGCACCACTTCAGGAACACCAGGCACACAAGGTGCAGCAGGGTTGGCACTCAACTGGCACGGAGTGGCCCTGCAGGGCCGCCCGGGGGGAGGGGGAGGGGGAGGGCAAGTGGGCCCGGAGGACGCAAGGTCAGGGCTGGACGAAGGGAGACACAGAAAACAGATTTCACTGGGCCAGCTTCACCTGCACCCTCAAAGAGATGGGCCCTTTGGACAGCTCCATGGACACAGCAGGGTGACACTCGGCCCTCAAGGCTCAGAGGTGCTTTACTGGCTGTCATTAAAGCTGTACCCTTGTCTGTCACCCCAGCATCCCAAGCTCCCCTCATAGGTAGCCGTATGCCCCCTGCAGCCCCTTGTGACTCCTTCCCATGCCCCCATCACCCAGCAAGCGCCACCTGAAGCATGCTTGGCATTCACTGGAATGCAGGCCCTTGTGTCCCAGAGAGACTCTGTCCCAGACACACACTCAGCAACTCCTGTTTCAGACTGGTAGGGCCAGATCCCCCACGGGCCAAGCTGGGGACAGTGGAAGAGTTAGGCAGGGCGGAGGTTTGAAGGGCAGACCAAGGGGCTAGAGCTCTCCTAATATCACTCTGATTGGGTGTGTGATGGGGGCAGTGTTGTGAAGAACCCACTCCCCTTCTCCCTCCCTTTCAGTGCAGATCAGGGATTTGTGGGAGCAGGAAACCCACTCCCAATTTGACAATGGGGAGCCCGGGGGCAGAGTCTGTCTGGGAAGAGGCTCCTCCCATCTCATCCCACTACTGCCACCATTCAGTTGAGATCTTAAGAGGACCAGGTTGCTAGCATTTTATTCCTAAGGGGAGGATGGTTCTGTGTCCTCCAAGCACTCCCATCCCTTCCCTGCCTCCCAAACTCACAAGCCAGGCTGGTCAGAAGGAAGTGAAGAGCCCCCCTTCCCACCAGTGGCCCTACCGTAGTGGCTGTGTCTGGCTGCCACTGGTGCTGTTCTCTGGGGCAGCCACCTGCTCTGGCGACTTGAGCAGACGGAGCTCGTCGGCCTGCATAGCGTTGTACCAGACCTGCTGCCCTCCGTCAGGTGTCAGCACCGGACTCTTGGCCTCTTCACCTGCCATTCCCTGCTGGAACCTCACCAGGTTCACCGCGCTGGCCGGCAGCTGCAGCAGCTTCTGCATCGGATTCATTGCAGCTGCAGAGGGGAGCAGGGGTCAGCGACAGGCAGAGAGAGGGGATGGCCCCTCAGCGACAGGGATGCTGATTCTTCTGCAGTCAGTGTGCCAGCCCTCAAAGGGTTAACCTGGTTCTGCCAAGCTCCCCCTGGCCAGCTCCCCAGTGGGGTTCCAGCACAGCTGGGGGGGGGCTTCCTGCCCCCTCTCTCACCAGCACCCCTCTGGACCCCCCAGGGTTGTTGTCTCTGATCCTGGATCCCAGATCCTGAGCTGGCGGGTGCGATTCAAGGCACAAGGAGGGAAGGCAGCGAGGAGCTGGGGCTGGCTGCCTGTGAGGGGGGCACCCACATGGCTATGGGGAAGCAGCTGCTGGTCTCCCCGGAGGGCTTGGCTGGCCCTGGCACAGCAGGCTGGAGAGGCTCCTCCTGCCCGCACCGCGCTGCCCCAACCGCCCCAGCCAGACGCTCAGTACAGCCCAGCCACGTTTGCAGGTCGGCTGGCTCAGCTCTATGACTCAGCTCCCCTCCGCTCCAAACTCCCCTCCGCCTGACAGCCCCCGCCCTTCTGTCCCTGGGCTGAAATCTGATGCTGCAGCAGCTGGCAGGCAGCTGAAAAGGAGCCCTTGCTCCTCGCCTGGCTTGCAGCGCCTCCTGCTGGCCACACACAAACTGCCACTCAGAGTGAGCCAGCCCCCCCACTCTGCTCCTGGGGAGCCCCTCCCATCCTCTGCCCCACAGGGACATAGGGCAGACCCCAGCTAAGTCCATGCTAGCTGCCAGTGCTCAGCACCTCCAAGCATCAGGCCCAGAGCGTGACTGGACCTGCCATCTGTGGGCATCTGCAGGCTACGAGCTCCCATCCACGGGGCACAGGCAGGACAGGGCTGCCAAGCACTCAGCTAGGTGCAGGGAGGGACTCACAGAGGGTGGTATCGAGGCTATCTAGAGTCATGCTACCAAGGGCTTCAACTGCTCTTTCTTAGGGGCTCAGGGGACTTTCATGGGGGCAGATCACCCCACATCTGCCACTGCAGGGTTCCTACACCTTTCCCTAAGGCATCTGGTGCTGGCCACTGGCAGAGATGAGACACTGGGCTAGAAGGACCTTGGGTCTGCTCCAGCCTAGCGATGCCACTGTGCCTATGCCACGGACTGAGGCAGCCCCCAGAGGATTTAACAGGGATGCCCACTCCTGCCAGAGGATCTCATTCCAGGGGTCCAGAGAGTCGTTCCAGCCCCCGGTCAGTTCTTCTGTAGGACGAGGAGGCCTGAACCACCCACTGGCCTTTAACTCTTCAGTGTCAGGGACACTGTGCTTGGCTAAGGACCCAGCCACGACCTCACCAGAGCTGGGGGGAGCCTGTGGAGCGTGCCACAGCAACATCCCCTGCACAGAGAGCTGAACTTCATGCACTAAACCCACAGAGAGTTGCCCCTGATGGGAGTTTCTGAGAGCAGGAACCCCTTGCTGCAGGCTCGGAGCTGTCCGAGACCAGGCAGGGAATTCACCGTTCTCATTTTCCATTCACTTCAGCAGGGGCAGGCTGGGGTCACAGGGAGTGATTCCCGCTCCCCACGTTGTGCATGAGGGCCCAACGCCCAGCAGCCATCCCAGATGGAAGGACCACGAGGCAGGTGGGAGCAGCACTGGGACAGGAGGGAGCTATGGAGCAGGTCTGGGAGGAGGGAGCGGGGCGGGGAAGGAGCCAGCTGCGGTGAGGTTCCCAGGTGCTGGCCAGAGGGAAAGGCAGCCCAGGAAGCTGCTAGGTGAGAGGGGGCTGGGCGAAGGAGTGAGAGAGGACAGTGCCAGGCTCATGGGGCCTCCAGTAGGCGTAACCCCCTCCAGCACACCCCTAAGCGAGGACCAGTCACTGACCCATGGCCCTGACCCGTGCAGTGCTCCCCTGGTGCAGCACTGCCAGCACCACACAGGGACAGAGCCGTTCACACAGGCGTCATGGCAGCCAGCACTGCAGATGAGTCACCAGGGCTGGGGTCTGCGACAGCCAGCGCATCATGCAGCATCACACTGGGCTGCAGCACAGACACGGGGAGCTGAGCTGACGTATGGGCGTTCAATGCCCCCGGACCCAGACAGCCTGGACACATCAACCGCCTGGGGAGATGTCACAGCCTCTGGAGCTGGCCGTGCCCCAGACGCCAGACGAGGGGAGGGACAGAGGGGCAAGAGCCCCACTTAGACGCCAGTTGGGTTGGTTTCTGTTGGGGGGGGAACAGCACCATCTAGTGGCCACTGTGCATGTTTGCCCACCCCCTTGTTTGTGTCTGTAGCTCTGTTTGCATTCCAGTAGCGCCTGCAGTGCCCCATTGTGCTGGGCTTGGTACAGACACACGTATTAAGAGGCAGTGGCTGCCCCTATATTTACAATATAAATAAGACACAGAAAGCATCACTAGCCCTGATTTATGGATGGGGGGGGGGGGGCTCAGGGATTTGCCCTGGTCACCCAGGGAGTCTATGGCAGAGTCAGGCCCAGAACCTAGCTCCCGAATCCCAGCACAGCAACTCAACCAGAAGCCCATCCTCCCTCTGCCATGCAATTCTTGTGCCTCCCTGCCCCCAGCCCAGAATTTTGCACTAAGGTGCTAAATTCCAAACATGGATGGGTGTTCAGACCGGACTGTGATCTCACACCAGGTTTACCCTGTGGAAGCAGCTCTGGCTCCTGGCTTACCCCAGGGCACGAGACAGGAGGAGCAGGCCCGGAGTGTTTCGCTGAAGCCGGAGCCCCACGGACGGTTGAGCTCCTTCGCAGGCCGCTATATCCACGCTGTACACACAGCACCACAGCAAAAGCTGCTGAGCCAGGGCCAGGCCAACTCATCTAGACTCCTTCTTAGCCCACTGGGCCATTGAGCTGTCCTGACACCGGGATAGATGGCGCTCCCAGTACCTCTGGGCTGGTATCAGAACATTCCCAGTGAAATCCTACCTGCCTTCGGGTTCACGTTACTCACAGAGAGCAGGGAAGGAAAAGTTCAGAGACGATGTCAGAAGGGAAAACTGAAGAAAGAGAAGCCAAATTCCGGTGACGGGTGTCAGCTTGACAGTGCTGGAGAAGGAAATCCTCAGGGCAGGTACCGTCCCTGCCCCTGTTCTGTAGGGAGCCCGCTACTAGGGGCGAGATGGGCACTCAGTCTCCATGGCCAGGCCAGTCCTTGGTCCCCATCAGGGCTGTCAGCAAACAGCCCCTCAACTCAGGTACCAATCATGGGGGTGGTTGGTGTGGGGGATACCCACCCTGGTAGTTCCTGGGCCCAACCCTGTGAGTGGAACCCCCACTGGAGTCAGTGTGGGGGTGGCGCTGGGAGCATTTACAAGCTCACCCTGAGCCCTTGGCTAGTTTGGCTCCTGTCTCTGAGCAGTGAGGATTCTCGCAGATCCCCGTAGCCCAGGCCCTGTGGGACGGGCCGATCGATAGCGTTGCTGGACAGTGGGGAGCTGCGTAGATCCCCAGCACTGCTCTGCACAAGGGTTAATCTTGGGCCTGCACTAAGTGGCTGCAGCCGTCCTGCTGTAAGGCTAGTGGGCAGACGACACTTTAGCCCCCACGCCCCTCTGGAGCCTTACTGGGATCTTTGCTATTCTCCCCCCTAAAAGGGTGTGTGTGTGGGTCTCTGCCATCCCATCCACCTCACAGCTTCCAGGGGGCCCCCTGTCTCATGAATAGCTCCCATCCCTGCTGATAGAGCCCCTGGTGCAGCAGCAGTGTGAAAGCAACAGGATTCTTGTGTGGAGCTGTTTGGGAATGGGGGCAGGACTGGAGTAGCAGGGGGCTGGGGTCGGGATTGAGGGGCACTGGCAGAGCTGACTGGGAGTTGGTCCAGCTCCTGCCTGCACCGTGCCTGGCTCTCTCCATGCTCCCAGCCCCTACATTTACCCTGAAGTTTATCCCAGAGCCCTGGGCAGGGCGAGTTCCCGTTTGGGAGAAGGGCCTGGAACATGCAGAGTCTCCATTCCCTGCTTTCCCGGCGATACTGGGGATCCGGTGTCCTCCTGGGGCTGGGGCACCTGTTAGAAGATATGCAGGATTTGGGAACGAGACTCAGTGGGAGGCCGTGACTGTTTTGGGGAGAGCCCCATGTTCCCAGCTGAGCCTCAGGTCAGCTGTGATGGTGAATGGCCAAGGTGTGGTCCTGGGGCCTAAACCATCCATGTGACAGAGGCCCACCAATCATCTCCCCTCCAGGCCTTGCAGTGATGCTGGGCTGGGTTGCCTTGCCACAGTCCCAGTGCAGGGGGCGCTGGAGAGCACTTGGCTCTAGATCTGATGGGCTGCGGGGATGAGCGAGCAGGGGGGGCACCATACCCCCAATAGGAGTCTTGGGCTCAGACAGGCATGGGGCAGAGCACAGTCCCCACTGTACCTACCCTCTGCTGTGGGCAGCCTGGCAACGTGGCTCATTTACAGCCCCAGCAGCTCTGCACAGACTCTGGCAGCGTCAGCCTGGAGGGGCTGTCCCGGGCCCCTCATGCTGCGGTTGCTCGTTATTCCCACCCCCTGCAATGGTTGCAGGCCCATGGCCACAGCAAGAAGACTCAGGCATTGGTTTTAGGTTCACAGGCCTCGCCCGGCTGGACCGTCGCCGGGAGTGTCTGACTCCCACAGAGCCATTCAAAATAGTCTGCCCAAGGAAGCATGCCCAGCAGGCGTGGTACAGTCAGTGAGAGGGCGGGGGGCACAAAGCCCACCTCAGGGAGCCCAGCAGGACAGGCCCAGAGCAGCTTCCTGGGGAACCTGTGTGAAACAGGCCTGGGGACCACAAGAGGCACCAATCTACACCTTGCTTGGCAGTCTCCAGGGCTCAGATTTCCCCTCTCCTCGCTCAGACCGAGGCCTATTGGTGAGTGCGGTGGGCAGGAGCTTGCCAGTCACTGCCCGGCTGCACAGGCTCTGAGGATCCATCATTTCAGCCTCCCCAGTGTCACTTCTTCTAGCCGGTTCCACCTGCGCTGAGACTCTCTGGGAGCCCACATGCCACCCCCAGCCTCACTGGTGCACCTGGCAGCCTTCAATTGCACTCTACAACGACCAAACAAGCTCTAGCCTCGTGGTGGGGTTTGGACCCCTGCAGGCACCTGATTTGCAGAGACTTCCATGGGAGCTGGCAAAGACCTTCTGAAGCTCCAGAACCTTGCACAGAGCCCTGGACATCGGTCTGGTCCCTGCCTGCAAGCCTGGAAAGCTGGCAGAGGAGAAGCCTGGGCAGAACTCCGCTGCTCCATGGTACGTGGGGGAAGGAGCTGTCCCCAGCCTGCTCAGAGGATGGCAACTGACTCCTTGAAGTGCACCGGGGCTGAGTGAGGCTGGGACCCAGCAGCCTGCCCCAGCTGTAGCTGCCAGATGCACTTCAAGGACAGCCCTACGTACAGTGCATAGGAGTGGTCTAGCTGGGAGAGAAAGGCATGGATGCTTTCCCCCACCGGACACAAACACGACCC